TGTTTGATGGAGAAGTGCAATCTCAGAGCTGCAATCAGAAAGGAAAAGTGAAGTAAAGCAAAAAGTAAAAGTAAGAAGATTCATTATCACACTAACCACTATTTTTATGGGAAGAAGCAAAGGAGACACAACCAGTCACTTAGCAGGTATATTGCCATGGACTTGCAGGATGACTCCAAATGTTTATGTGAGAAAATTATAACTCAGTATAGCCCAATTATATGGAGGAAGAAAAGAATAATTTATTTCTTGTCTCTTATCTGATATTAGTGAAGGTTTTTTTACATGGAGAGTTAACACCTCCTCTATTCATAATTGTGTCATTTGACCCCTTTGGCATCTGTTAGGGAAGCCAGATTGAATGCCTTATGTTAGGGCACATCTTCTAAATCTAGAATTAATGGAATCAACCAGAAACTCTGAGCATAGCTAGTCAATTTCAGGAAGCAGTACTGCATGAGGCTGATTAATTCTGCCAAACTTGAGATGAACCAAGAAGCTAAGGGTTTGGGAGACAAGCAAAGCTGAGAGAATTTGAGATGTACTCAATACTATATCCAATACAGACATTCTTAGTTCAAGAGCATGCTCTTGTATTTGATAGGCTAATGTGCAGTTTCATTAAAAATTATATTTTGGGGAAAGGATGATCTATCTTGTGAATATATGATATTATCTTGATTCAATAGGTACTTTAACTTTAGTAGTTTGTTCCTTTTTGCGCTTCACCAACAAGCTTCCAAGTTTAGCTTTCCTCATCCAAGTTGAATTTATCTCAGAAAGGAAAAAATTTTTAAAGTTAGAAAATCTATGAACATATTTCAACAAATTAAAAAATTAAAGACTAATCATCTCAACACACCCCTAAGAACCCACGGCATTCTGCTCAAAAATCTCATCATCAATGTACCACAATCTTGAGAATATTCACCGACATAGGCTAGAAATGTTTTAACGCTTAATAGAGCAATAAAAAAGCCTACAACAAAATTTCTATTTAGACGCTGAAGTGTTGGAAGCTCGCAGGTTCCTTTAGCGTTGAACAAAGCAAAGTTCACACTAAACATTCTACCCTATTACTCTGCACTGGGGTCCTAAACAAAAATGCATATCTACCACTAACACACTAACTCGCCTCGGCAAGGAGAAACCAGAAATTTGTGATGCACTTGAATGATTTTATACACAGAATATTCCAGAGAATCTAAGCACAGCTATTAAAAACAAAATATTCAATAATGTAACTGAAAAAATATCAAAAAATCAATAATTTTTTTTTCTTTTTTTTTGAAGTAGAATTTTGCATTGTAATCAATAATTTTTATACATTAAAAATTATCATTATGAAACTGATTTTAAGAAGATTAAGTCACAAGGGCAATAAAATCTATAAGTTATTTGGGATTAAGCTAGTAAAAAATATGTAAGACTTTTATGAAAAACAGTTATAAAGTGATATAGAAAATCAAATGAAAACCAAAGTAAATACATCATGTTCATAGATAGAACACCCATATCTTAACCATGTATATTTTCTCTAAATTACATGTTCAAATTTCAAACAAAATCCAAATTGAAAATTATATAGAGCTTGATAAGCTGATCCTAAAACTCATATAGTAAAATGAATCAGAAATAGTCAAGATAACTTTGAAACAGAAAAGGGAACAGCTAACCAGATATCAAGACATTTTTTAAGTTATCCCAATTAATAATTATCCCAATTAATTATAAATTATCCTAATATTATTGCTACAATAATAGATAAATAACATGACAGAAGAGAAAGCCCAGAAGACCCACTCAAATATGAGAACTTGATATAAGAGTAAAGTATCCTATAAATGATTAGAAAATAGATTGACTATTCAATAAATGTATTATTTATATGTACAAAATATCAAATGTATATCAAACCAACATAAAATAAATTATATATAGATTAAAATCTAATTGTGAAATGCAAAGCCTTAAAACATAAAATATGATTGTATGCTCTCTTAGGAAGAGAAAGATTTCGTGAATAAGAAACAAAAAGCAGGAATCAAATGAAAAAATAAACTGAATACATTAAAAACAAAAACTTCTATGTGAAAAAAGACTATTGGTGGAAAAACTGATATACAAGAAGTGATTTATTCAAGATTATATGCTAATAAGTATATAGAAATGCTAATTATTTGTATGCATTGATTTTGTAATTGGAGACTTTGCTGATTTTATATAATTCTAGCAGCATTTTTTGTGGAATCCTTAGGGTTTTTTAGATACAAGATCATATTGTCACCAAATAGGGATAGTTTGACCTCCTCTGTCCTGATTTAGATGCCCTTTATTTCTTTCTCATCCCTGATTGCTCTAGCTAGGACTTCTAGTACTATGTTGAACAGAAGTGGTGACAGGGGAACCCCTGTTTTCTCCAGTTATTAGGGAAAATGCTTGAAACTTTTCCCCATTCAGTATGATGTTGGCTGTGGAGGTATCATATATGGCTTTTATAATTTAGAGATATGTTCCTTCTATACATAGTTTATTGAGGGTTTATCATGAGAGGGTGCTGGATGTCGTCAAATGCTTTTTCTGCATTTATTGAGACGATCACATGGGCTTTGTTTTGGTTTCTGTTTATGTGGTGAATCACGTTTATTGATTTGCACGTTAAACTATCCTTGCACCCCTGGATGAAACCCACTTGATCAAGGTGGATTTTCTTTTTGAAATGCTATTGAATTTGGTTTACTAGTATTTTGCTAAAGATTTCTGCATTTATATTCATAATAGATATTGGTCTCTAGTTTGCTTTTTTGTTGTTGTTGTGTCCTTTCCTGGCTTTATTAGGTGGAGAATCAAATCAATAACTCAATACCATTCACAATAGCTACAAAGAAAATAAAATACCTAGGAATATACTTAACAAAGGAGGTTAAAGACTTCTACATGGAAAACTACAAAACACTGATGAAAGAATTTGTAAATGACAAAAACAAAATGGAAAAACATCTCCTGCTCATGGATTGGTAGAGTCAACATCATTAAAATCTCCATATTGCCCAAAGTTATTTACAAATTCAATGCAATCCTCATCAAAATGCTAACATCATATTTCACAGATCTAGAAAAAATAATCCTAAACTTTATTTGGAACCAAACAAGAACTGAAATAGCCAAAGTAATATTAAGTAAAAAGAACAAATCTGGAGGTATCACATTACCAGACTTCAAATTTTACCTCAAGGCTATAGTAACCAAAACAGCATGGTATTAGTATAAAATCAGAGACATAGACTGATAGAACAGAATAGAGAACCCAGAAATAAAACCATCTACCTACAACCAACTGATCTTTGACAGAAAACAACATACACTGGGGAAAAGTGCTGGGGAAACTGAATACCCACATGCAGAAGAATAGAAACAGGATCCCTATCTCTCAACATACACAAAAATTATTTCAAGATGGATTAAAGATTTACATGTAACTCATAAAACCATAAAAATTCTAAAACAAAAATGGTATATTGAACTTCTCTGATTACTAGTAGGCCGTTTCCTCCTTACTGCCCAACTCTGCTCTCTAGAGGTGGTAAGAGGTGACCACATGTTAAGCTCTTATTTTCATATGTCTAAATATATTTATATTACTACTTCCTGATTTATTAGATATTATATGTTAATTCTATTACAATTATAAGATGAGGATTAGTACAAGTTCTTTATATATTCTGCATATTCATTATTCATCTGCTAATAATGTAGCAAATATTATCTCCCACTTTGTTGCCTATTATTATTATTACAGTACTCTTGTCATGGTATATTCCTTAAAGTTTTTTAGGTTTTGTCCAAGGGTGTCTCTACTCCACAGTTACAACCCACATCCTACAAAAATCTTCAAATACTTTCTGAGTTGTGATTTTAATGTTTACGTATTTTCTACATCTGGAATTTTATTTCTGTGCATGGTATGAGGTGGAGGTCTTACTATTTTTTTGAAATGGATAACCAATTGTCCAATATCATTTATTCAATAATTATGTCCTCAAATTTCTCTAAAATATATAAAATTCTCCCAAACGCCTGAACCATTTTGGGAATATCTATGTAGATTCATTGTTCTTCTTATATACCTCTGTACCAATATCACACTGTATTTATTTTTTTTTAATTATTTGGCTACTCTCAAACACTTTCTTTTTTTGGTGAATTTTTAAATCAGCTCATGAATCCTTTAAAAATAAGCAAACTCTGATGACACCAGATTGGAATTACATTGTACTGATGGATCAATTTGAATAAATCCAATATTATCCACTGAGTGGACTTGCCTTTCAGGTTTAATTTTTGTTACACTAATTCAGTTTTTATCCTTTAAAAAAACAAATAACCAAATCTACATACTAAATAATTTATTAATGTTTTCTCTAGTACTAAGCAAAAATTATATACTTGAAGAAACATATTATTTATAATGATAGTGACACTAGATCTTTTCATTTTATCAACTTTGTTTCCTCATCATAAAAGGCAAATTATAAAATGATCAAGATGAATAAGGATTATCTCTGTTATCTGATATCATTTTCTATATTAGTATTTCTATATTAGTATATATTTATAAAATAAAGATTGGTTAGTTTAAGTTATTTAATATTAGTCATTTATCACTACCAAAACTGAATAACAGAGGCAAATGAATGATACTGATAATCATGTTATTAAATTCAAGCATAGAGCATTTGAAAATTAAAGTTGTTCTCCATGTTATATTCCTCTAAATTCCAGAATTAAATTATCAACTTTAGTACCAAGTGAAACTAAAGACTTGACTTGGAACCAATATTAACATGAATAATTCATTCATTCATTCAACAAATTTTAAATTTAAATAACATCAGATGCTATAAACTATGTTAAATATTAGGTATAAAATGATAGTAAGAAACACCTTTTTTCAAAAATGAGGAAAACACAAGCAAGAATAATGGTATTATAATACTCACTTTCCCTTCATCTCTTGGGCTATCACTTAAATGTACAACTGGACCTGGATGAGTCTTGGTGGATCTGTTAAATCAATTCAAAACAGTAATTAAAAACAAAACATTAAAATACCTTACCCCATTAGAGACTGAAACAAAGAAATTAAGATTTTACTGGAATAAAGTGCCAGTATTGGGGGCTTAAGTTCAGATTCGCTTGGATTTTTGGTTTTCTTTTCCAACTATTTTTCTTTCTCCTACTTATTTTATTAAAGTAGTTGTAATTTTTTTTTTAAATCAGGCTTAAAGATTCACATAACACTGCATTTCTTCACTATCTGATATGCTTGTTGCCAGATAAGGGCCTCTGAAAATTTTTAACTGAATTTTTATTTATATAGACAAAAGAACAATACAGCCACAGTTACAGCTGATGGTGTAAACCTGTGTCAATCAAGTTTCAAAGTACATACCTGATTTAAGATTTCCTTTGACATGAAATCTCCTCTGATTTTGCCCCTAAAGAAAAGTACAGTGGCACCTTTGATTTAAAAAGAAACTCACTCTAGTGATAGCCATCTTACAGAAAATTGACAAATTGGGGAAACCTAGTTCATGACTTATATCTCGTTTATCTCATCATCTAACATAATCTCATCATCTAACAGATAATTATGAATCTAATAGCATATTTTTAAAGGACCTGTGCTCTATCAATTTGACTTTAAATTTATTCCACTCTGATATGTGGCATGCTTCTTTTATAATTCCCAGTCTAACTTATGTCATTGCTGAATATGATTATGTATGTCATGGTTAAATAAGATATGACCTGATATGACCAGAGATGTATTATTACTCAATTTTGCATAGCCTTTCTTCGTGGCCTACCTGTGCCAGATTAATTCTATTATGATTATATTGATATAGCTTCACTTTATTTCTTAAGTACACATGACAAGCATCAAAGATTCTTTATAATACAGTGAAGAAGATTTAAATCATAGAAACTACTTGGAATCAGAGAACAGTGACAAATTAATTCTAGGGTCTCCTCATACTGACTCCTCAATGTGGCCGGGAAGAATAAGCACAGATTTATTGGATATTACTAAACTTTTTTAGTAGATTCAGCCTAAATAATCTCAACTAAAAATAGAAATAATAGCACTGATCCTACTGAATAATTGTGAAGATTAGAAATGATATGTATATAGTGTCTAATATAATGGCAAATATAGTACACATTCAATAAATATGATTGTGATAATTAGAAATCAGAGTTACTATTTGCATTTTAGAATATATGTAGGAAGAAAAGAAATCAAAGAGGGCTTCATAAAAATCTACAGAGCTTTCTGCAATTCTTTCTACATTTATATGTAACACATCATCTACATACAAATGCAATGTTCTGTAAAAGTATAAATTCCTCTGATAAGGGAAAATGTACTTAAATTATCTTTTAGGAAACTAATAATAACCAACAAACCACAAACATTTATTTATTTATTTGGTTTGATTGGACCAACATTTACCAAAATGTACTCAATGATAAACTAGTAGAAACATAAGTTATTTCACATAAAGAGTGTTCCATATTGAAAAAATTTGGGAACCCCTGAATTAAATAAAGTTAAATACTTTTTTCCCCATAGAACTTCTTAGTTCTGACTGTACTATTAAAATAAGCATTATAAATCTTCAATATTTTACAAAATTATTGGTCCATTGAATCCTTTTTCATTGATCAGATGAAAGGAATCACTGAAATACATTTTGGAAAATACTGGTTAGATCATACATAAGACTCTTCCATTTAGATTCTCAGATTCTACAAAACACTCTAGTTCATAAAATAATCTAGCACTAAACTTCTGTTATTTGGCAGTGACTTTTTCAGACTGCAGATCAAATATTCTTTATTATTTTTTAAAAACTTAGAAGACGTCAAAGTTAAAAGGAACAAGCTTTCACAGTATTTACTATGTAGAGTTAATGACTATTAACATTTTAGTATCTTTCTTATGACTTTTTCTCTAACATTAAACTTCCAAATCCCACAAAGTACTCTCGGCAAAACTTATGGTCATGAGAAATTAACCTAAAAGATTTTAAAAAACCATCTGTGGACTCTGGATTCTGAAAATCCCAGGAAAATTACTTTAGATAGAATTATCAATGAACTTAAATTCATGTACTAGCCACCTAAACAATACCTGGTAATTCTTCTAGGTGTCCCTATTTCTCTCCCTCCTTTCCACCACAATAGGCTTCTTGATAGTTTCCATTGTGGATTTTTCATTATCTTCCCATATCTTAAATATTGGTACTCCCTGGTATTCTGTCCTAAACTGCCATCTATTTCCATATATGGTCATGAATTTAAAAAACCTACAGGAACCATGCAGATACTGCAAATGAGTTAATAGGCTAAATAAGAACTGTGCCAAAGTGGACAGCATATTATCCACTTATAAAAGAAAGCTGTTACTCAGTTCCAGTTGATTGCTGCCATTAAAGAATGCTAGACTAGGATTGTTTCATCGTGAATTCCTTTCATGAAAAGCTGGAAATCCAAATTTTCATTTCACTCTACCAACTTTCAAATATTAGAAACTAATAATTCATAACATATTCAAATAATCTGAGGGCCAAATAAAACATATTTGTGAGTCATATTAATAATTGATTCAATGGCTAATTTGTTACCTCTTCTCTATATAATTTTCTTGCACAATTTCATCTATCCTCATGGTTTCAACAATCATGTAAATTCTGATCTATCTCACTACCTTCATATCCGTAGATCCTACCTGCTACCACTCTTCCATACCAACTCCATTTGAATGTCTTAAAAACACATACAACTCAACCTACCTAAAATTGAACTCATTATTTTACTCCTAATCTATTCAATCTCCTGTACTCTTTCACTAATTGAGCAACATATAGTTGCTCAAGCCAAACACTGGGGGGGGGCATACCCATAAGTTTTCCTTATTTTTCTTTCCTCTTCTACCTTCTAAATATTTTTTTAATATCTCAGCTTATGTCTACCTCTATAACCACCATCATAACTTTTACCAATATACTCTTTCCTCTTTCTAATTATTTCTCCATACTTGCATTCAGAGTAGTATTCCTAAAATACAAAGCTGATCAAGACAAATCTCTACTCAAAGCCCTTCAAAATCTAGCTCTCTAATGGCCTTAGGTAAGTCCAAACTTCTCAAATTGGCTTACAAGACCTTTCATGATATATATCCTGATTACCTCCCAGCTTTATCTCTTATAATCTCTCCCCTAGCCATTCCAACGAACTAAAAACCATATTACTTAACATTTCTGAAAGTGAAACAAAACTGTCTTACATTCCATCCTTTGCCTGTTCTGTTCCCTCTGCCTGGAACACTATCACCAATGTCCCCTATGTTTTACTCATCTAACTGAATCAACTCATCCTTCAGATCTCAGCATAAATGTATATATATGGCTTCCTTCACAGATACTTCTCTGGGACCCTATGTCTCTATCAGACGCCCTTCTTGTAGAATTACCATTTTACATTTCCAATATATTTTAATGTCCTTTTTATTTAATCTTACTTTCATTAGACTGGAGGTCCCAGGAGAACAGAAACTGTGTCTTCTTAGTTCATAGTTGTTTCTAGTGCCTATCTCATAATAGTGCTCAATAAATGTTTGAATGATTGTTAAATACAACCTTAAACATAAAATTTAATTATAAATTTCATGCTCAAAATTTAATCATATATAGATAAAAGGGTTACCTTTTTTAAAGGCTGGGGCTATCCTACAAAAACAGCTATTTCTGTACTATAATCTGAAATATATTTTTCCATAGAAATATTTTTTAATGACAATTTAGTTCTATACTGCTACTTTATAAAGCATTTTGCAAACATCATTACTTCTTTGGAAAATGTGTTCCAGGATCCAAATAACCAACATTTTGGAAACACACTAAAAATAGAGATAAGCTGAAAAAGAAACATTGAATGAAATGTATTTCAAGTTAGGATTTAGAAATAATCTCATAATTTTAAAAAATAAGTCTTACAGTTGTCATACTTAGACAATATATTGTTATAATTCATGATCTAAAATTATATTTATGAAATGGTTCTTCTTAATTAAATCCATATTTTATTATTGTCCCATACAGGACAATAGCAACAGGAAGTAGCATGCATTTTCTAATGTATCTTGAGAGGTAGAGAGAAATCAAAAGACAATTCTGGGAGACTGGAAGTTGGCATTTAAAATTTTATCTACCACAAGGAAATTACAATTCCATGGAACACATTTTTGGAAATCCAGTCTAAACAAATCAAGAGACATTCAGGAGGTGATGGCATGTTGTTTCTTAATAACTTCTTGAAGATATTTCAAGAACATTTTCAGAGGCACGTATTAAGTCTATCAAACAGTATTTATTTACATAATGGTAGAGGCTATGCTAATGCTGAATCATATGTATAAGATCATACTATGAAAACATTAACAAAAGTGCCTTATTTTATCTCTTTAATTCCACCTAGTTTTACCCTTCTTTAAAATATACATCTTTTACTACTCTTTATTAGTCTTGAAATCATAAAGTACAGACCTTATAAATATATATAAGTCACTAGTTCAGGTAGTAACTAAAACTATGAAAAGGATTTGTTAAGTAAATGAATATGAAGACAAATTACAAAAGTGGTGAAATATTTGATCTAAGATAATAAACTCTTCTCAAATACTTTAGCAGCATTCAACTGAACACAAATAATACATCTACACATTTGTACTAATATTGAATTTGTTTTAAAGTTTTATAGTATGTACTAACATTGTATTTGTTTAAAGGTTATAATCTTAAGTTTATCTGTTTGTATGTTTTTATCAACATCTAAAATAATATGTGAAAAGCACTAAATTCATTCCTGTTTATTGCTTTTATAGGACTAGGATTATAGGGGGAAGGCTCTTTCCCCTTATAGCTAAAAAAGTATTTTGTGTGGTGGGGGGAAACATAATTGTTTATGGGATAAATGTTTTTTAAAATACACATACAGAAAAGTAAGAGCAAAATAGCTCATACCAATTATCTTGAAAAAATAAATGAAAGTTGTAAGTCAACAGTAGTAACTATTTAACATATTAATGCTTCAATAATGTAATCAGTTATTTAGTAGCTACTCTGTGAAAAGCACAAAATAAGCCAAGTATGAAGAAAAATAAAGAAAAATAAACAAGATTCTTCTCTGGAGCAGTTCTTAATCTAATGAAGGAGGAATAATTATCATTAATAAAAGACCCATCAGGACATAATATAAAAAGAATATAACAAGGGTATAACTAGTGACAACCTTCCTATCGAGCAATATACATGCACACTGAAACCACTGAAATATTGGGATTAGGAAAAGCTTTATCATAAAGACCAGAGTCAAGCTTTATGAAAGAGATTGTTTTAATCAGAATTTTGGAGAATAATTTTATAATATAAAACATACATGGGAGAGATAATGACCCAGCCTCAAGTCAAACATTTTATCAAGGACCTAATATATACAGATCATAAACATTTATTAAATAAAAGTTGTTTTTCTGATTAACAAATTGACCAGAGAATTGTTTATGTATATTCTACAAATAGATGGCTTGGAATTCCATGAAATTTCACATTTTATGTGGCAGAAACTTAAATATCAGTGCCAAAGCCAAAGTTGTAATTACCATCAACAACATACCAAAAACGCTGTATATATCACAATCTGGAAGACGTTGACAAATTATTTCTCCTTTGAACCCAGAACAACATTTTAATAAGGCAAGAAAGAATAAGCTACCAGCATTCAAAAGTATGTGCACTGATCATGATTATTTTACATAAAACAATCCAGTCCTCCCAATGAAAGTGGTTATACTAAGGTTAATTATAACAAAAATGAGATGATATCCATGTATAATTAGTGGGATGAACCATACTATATTATCATCAAATTTTGTATATATGACCCTTAATGATAGCATTTTTAAAAGCCTTTATGGTTTTAAGTTATTTTAGCTGAACTTTTCACTCAAATTAATTATAAATTAGCAATAGATACATCAAATAACTATAATTCAACATATATGTTATATAATGATATGAAATATTTAAGTCAAATAAATTGATATTCAAGTTCAAACTTACAGTTCAATTGCCTTGTTCCACATGATAACATATCCAGAAAGAATGAAAGATTCAATATTTACAATATGTGTATTTCCTCTTTCTGTTCCAACATAGAGCCATTTACTCTGGAAAGGTAGATGACAGTAAGTAATTCTGAAAGAAAGAAAATTATAATTAAAATATCTAAATTTTACATCTGGTCAACATTATATTTTCCTTACATTTATCATGCAGTGGTAGCTATATAAACAATAAAATTTACTATATACTCAATTAGCATTTTAGTTTATAGCTGAGGGTACAGGATAAATAAAATAGGGTATTATTAAAAACAATAATAATAACCATTATAAGTGCCTATATGGGCATTAATTTACATTATTTCTAATTCTGAAAACAGCACTGGAAGACAGATATGTATTTCTGTTTTACAAAGAGGAAACTGGCTGAAATTTTTTCTCATTACTTGCCTAGGACTGACAGCTAGTAAGTAGCAAAACTGGGATTCTTATACATTCCTGCTTGCTTACAAAGTTGCCATCTTTCCACTAAACCACATTGTTTTGTTTGTTTGTTTGTTTGCTTTGCTTTGTTTAAATAACATTCACTTCAAGGCCAGGAGTAGTGGCTCACATCCCTAATCCTAACCCTTTGGGAAGCCAATATGGGAGGATTGCTTGACACCAGGAGTTTGAGACCAACCTGGGCGACAGCGAAATTCCATCTCCACAAAATATTTAAAAAATTAGCGAGGCATGGTAGCATGCCTCTGTACTTCCAGCTACTTGGGAGGCTGAGGCAGGAAGATTGCTTGAGCCCAGGAGTTTGAGGTTGCAGTTAGCAATGATGATGCCCTTGTATTCTGGCCCAGGCAACAGAGCCATACCCTCTCTCAAAAAAGGAAAAAAAAAAAAAAGATTCACTTCAAATAGAAATTTGGTACATATAAAGTAATTTCATAGTTCATAGAGAAGTGGTAGCTACATCTAAATGAGATAATAAATTATATACTTTTTATTCAGATGTTTGGCATCTAAATATAATAGTAAAAAGAAAATTTATAAAGTCAGAGATACACTGTACTTTTCCCCTTAGTTTTATTATTCTGCTCTTATCTTCACAATGCACTTTCTGATCAACTCTGGGACCTGTTCCATAGCTGGAGCAACTATTACTTCTATATGACATATGGGAATTTATTAGAGTCTTCTAGTCACAATATCATTACTTTCTCTGGTTAGGCCTAATCATACTCTTTAGTTATCCTTAAAAAGAGAAGGAGGATAAGTTCAGTTATCTCTTACCAGAACTTGTTATTGAATCACAATATTTTTTATAGTTAACTTAGAAGAGGAGCTAGTACATTGTTAGAAGAGCTGAACAGAATTCTGACACCAGGCAGACAGACCAATAATAATAATAATAAAGAATGTGAATGATAATTTTCAATAGCATTTTGTCTTGTACAACTTTATATAAGAGTGAAGAAATATCCAGTGTGTTCAGTTTATAATCTCAGTGTGATTCACTGAATTTTTAGACAGCCTCTCTTTTTAAATTTTTTTTTTAATTTCAGCATTTAACCGGGGTTCAAATGTTTAGGTTAGGTATATTGCCTTTGCCCCACCTGAGTCAGAGCTTCAAGCGTGTCCATTCCCCCGATGGTGTGTACCGCACCCATTAGGTGTGTATATACTCATCCCGTCCTCTTCCCTTCATCTGCCTGATACCCGATGAATGTTGTTACTATATGTACACTTAAGTGTAACAGTTAATATCAACTTGATGGTGAGTACATGTGGTGCTTATTTTTCTATTCTTGTGATACTTCACTTATTATAAGGGGCTCCAGCTCTATCCAGGATAATACAAGAGGTGCTAGATCACCTCTTTGAACCATACTTCATCAAAGCACCCTGGTGAAAGCACCTTGCACTGATACTATATCCAAAAAACTAAAAGCCCTGCTATGACATAAACAATTACAGGTTAATTTACAATCTATATGATATTGGACAATTTTGATTAAAACTTAAAATCTATTAACATTTGTACTCCCATAATATGTTGAAATAAAAAAAACCCTAAAATCTAGAATTGCTGTCACCAAAGGATATTAACACTGTTGCATAGGAAATAACTTGATGTTTATGTTTCTAGACAATGAAAAATCAATTTTAAATTCAGTCTTCAGTAGGAAGAGGAAACTCATTTTAAAGAGGATTTAAGATCACTCTTTCTGAATCACAGGAACAGTAGAGAAAATGCTAATCTCATTAAAGAAGACACAAATATAGGCATTCAAGTAGAAAAAATTCAAACTTCAAAAAATATTACATAGTCATTTCCAAGGTTAACAAGAAAAGTGTAAGAACTGCTAGGTTTAAGTAATAAGACAAAACTAGAACTACTTGAACTGATAACTACCTTTTTCTGATCCTTATTAAAAAGAAGCTAGAGCCTTGACATCAAAAAGGTTTCACTTTATACACAATGTCCAACTGATGGGTATAACAACTAGTTAAGAAAGATTCTCAGATTTTATCTGAACCCAATAAAAAAGAATAATGTGATTACTTAGGATGATTGACGCAGGTGAGGAAAAGGACATGATTATACTTGTGCTGTGTACTTGATAACCCTAATAAAGGATTAAGCTATATATTTATACAACTTATTGTATTTAATAGTTACATCTTTATTTGTAACTTATTTCTGTAATGAACACCTGATAGATCAAGGATTTTTTTGTTACATATAAGCCATGGAAAAATAATCTTGCTCCTATATCCATATTGACTATCATTCTCCTATAGTAAATCATCTGAGACATTCTTAGCCTCCCATCCATATTTATTCAACCTTCACTGAACAATTCTTTATAAAAAAGCATTGTCTTAGATTACAACACAAACACCCTTTTCCCCTCGAAAAGCATACTATCTATTGGGAGAGTAGACAAGTAAGAAAAATAAAAGTAAAATGTGTGAATTTCTATAAAGAATTCAAAGGAAGGAGGGTTTAATCATAGTAAAAAAGATTAAAAAAAAAGCTAATGTAGAAAGTTGTATTTAAATTTTTTCATTAAAGATAAAAATATAAAATAAATGTTTCTCAAGCCCGAATAATGTACAAATCCTTGAAAACTTTTTGCTGAAAAATCCTCACTTTTGATCTTTTAGAAATTTATGTATAAAAATAAGATTAACATTCTTCATACTTATGGCTCTTTACACATATAAAACAAAAAAAATAAGTACACATAAAACTACAACTAGAATTCAAATGAATAACATTAATTTATGTGGGAGTTGAATTTTTTACAGAAATAAAATAAACTCACAATATGGATATGGTTCTAACTGCATAGGTTCTTTTGAGTTTAGTGTGTCTATACTTGGTGCTTTTTTGTTTTCCTCAACAGTTTTATATACTCTAACTGCTTTGAACTCTTTGTACACCAACACACATAATTTCACAATTATTTGGCATGAATGCATAATATATGTGCACAGTCTACCTCTGTTATTTTATTAACCCATAACAACTATGTAATATTGCTTGGTACCAAAACTATCATAAAACGCAAATTTAACTTTACATATTGAACCTGTGTAGCAGTATTTTTGTATAAATTTGTTTATTCAAATCTTTCAGAAGGTTTCCATTAGTCTAGCATAAAAATAAAAATATTACGAGTAGAAATTATTGCAAAATACAACCTATGACTATGCCCATAGCCCTAGTATATGAGAAACACTCTAAGCAAAATATATATTTTAACATACAAAATGATTTAAAATTATGGACATTATGCAGTAGGAAATTTATTGGACAATTTCAGCTTTGAAATCCTCCACATCCCCAAGTTCTAATACAGTTCAATTTTAGGACTATTCATTGTTTGGATTCCAGATCCTCACGTTCCAGGCCTGATGAGCCTGGTACTTCAATGAAGACTCTAGCCCCTTATATAATATTTATAATTGTAATACGCAACCTGGTTACACTTAAAGCTAGGTGTATAATGATTCTGCATGTCAAAAACACAAATATCTCAGATGATGATTCAGTAGTTTTAAGATAATATTTAGCAATATAGTTTAAAAACTCCTTTTGGGTGATTTTGATGCAGATCAAAGTTAAGAATCACTAAATTATAGCAACAATTTTTAATCTTTGATATAAAGAAATATCTCATTAAAATGCATATTCCCAGATTCCAGTCACACAAATTGTGACTCCATGGTCCTGAATGAGGCATACAACTTGGGAATTTTAACACGTTTCTCAGTCCTTGTTATTCAAAGTGAGGTCCATAGCCAGGAGCAGAGACATCACCTAGAAGGTTCTTAGAAATTAAGAATCTCAGGTCAGATTTCTGAACCGAAAACTGCATTTTATGAAAGAACTTCCAGGTGAGTCATAAACACATTAAAGTTTAGGAAGCACTTCTCTATGTGATTCTGATTTACCTCATCTATGAACCACATTTTAAGAAACATATTCTGTGGTTGAGTACTGCTTACCTATTCTTCAAGTTTCAAAATAAGAACCTAAATTAGTAAGTTATTAGTAGTAGGAATAAAGCCTTGTAGTTATATAGTCCTCCAAAACCAATTAAAGATAAGGATGATGATAAGGATAATAATAATAATGACAATAACAATAATGATGATAATGAGAACCACAACAGCCAGGAAAAGGGACAGATAGCTACACTATGATTCCCTCAGCATATGATGTCAAAGGCTGATATGTAGAAATTTTAGTGGAAAAACTCAAAGTGTATAAAAGAAAGAACAAAGTAATAAAATTATTTAAGAAAAAGAATCTGATACGTTTGAACAAGCTCTACCTAACTGGAATTATCATACAAGAAACAAAATTTAAAAGATAAGTGAAAATTTAGTTGAATTTCATTCATGGTCTTAATGGCCTAATTAATCAACTAACGAGTCAGTAAAAACTCAATATTATTGTCTGTCATTAGCTGGAAAATTTTTTAGCATAAATCAAATTTTAAAAATAAGACAAATCTCTGCAATTATTAAAATGACTTACCAATAATCTAAGTCAGGTGACACTAAACTTTTTCCATGAAGTGTGCTAAAATATAGTACATATTTTGGGCCACAAAGGCCACATGCTGT